CACATAAGTATGAATCGAGATCGCGATTTTCTAACGATTAATCGTGCAGCCCCAAGTTTACACTCTGGTTTCTTTCCGGACACGAATAACCAACCTGTGTTAAGCTGATATGCTGTAGGCTGAAGTCGGCATTAGTCCCTGACATCAGGAAGAGACAGAGCTTGGCCACAGACAGAGAACAAAGTATAAGGCAGCAAAACCCACAATCCTACGTGACTAATAGCAGAAAGAAAAAATATATGAAAGTTTGTATGTGTAAAAGCATGTCTACAGCAGTGGTTTGAAAGCCTCTCTTTGCCAGTCTGAGCTCCTCAGGGAGGAAAATGCAAAGAGATGCTGCACTGACAGCAAGGAGCCTGTGTGCTTTCATCCCAATGGAGAAATCCACAGATGGTTTCTTAGATATCCTCACTGCTTGATGCTTAGGGTGTCTACAAGGAATTTTGTGATGATCTCTTAAAATGTGTGTATAATGTGAATCCACTTTTACTGCTCAATGCTGCTGAAGTGCAGGCAGGTAGAGTGAAGTGCAGCAAGCCTGGAGCGAGTGAGAAAGCGATCAATGCAATATCTACCACGTCAAGTTGCATAAATGAAGAAAATATCAAAGTGGGAACTGTATTTCACAGCAAATAAAAATCAATAAACGCTGCTATTCTGTTGAAGTTGCTGCTGATGGAGAATTCTGTAGTGTTGGCTGTTCTTCTGTAAACTCTCTACTACTTGGTGTTTGATTTTTTCTTTGAGGTCCTGACGACAGGCATGAAATTTACCAACATTTTAGAGCTGAAGATTGAATTATCTTGAAGTGTGTGAGGCACTGTGATAAATCAAAGTCTAATATTTAGACTGGCATTTTTTTTAACATAAGCATGATAATTATACTGTAAAGAAATGACCTTAGTCCAATAAGAATAAAAAAAATGTGAAAGCAGTGCTTTAATTAGGGTTTCTATAAATAGATGTGTATTGACTGTATGGGCCGCTGCTGCTGGGGTGAATGACTCACACAATTATGCTGGAGTGCTACAGCAGGAATTGTTGACATGAAAGTCTTATCTGTCAAGAAAAAGATGGGAAATCAATATGTTGGACTCCATTGTCATTAACACTTCACTGTGAAGGACACTTGACCTTCAGATTACAAACACAGGACTGAGACAGGTTGCACGTGAGACCTGATGAAATGCTGCAGGAAAATGAATAACGCAAAAACTATGACGCTTAAATTCCCTTGTTCTTGGGTCATTGTGCAATTAGACTTAATAACTGTTCGATTCGAACCAATTAACACCTCGTCAGAACAACACCGGTTTTCTCTCTTGTGAATAATAAAGCTGACAGTTCCTCAGAGACTCGGTGGGAAAATGAGCAGACAGGCAGATAGCAGAGAGCGGCTTGTCCGACATCACAGGACGAGCAGAGCAGCACTTAGAAATCCTGGCTGTGATTTCATCAATAAACCATATGATCCTATCAATATTGAAGAGCCCGTCTTCACAAGCAACCCTTAAAGACATGATTGCTTACAAGACCGCACATCCCTCTGAGCTCTGAGCCGTTTTCTGATCTTCTTTTGAGCTTTTATGAGGACAAACTTTAAAATTAGCAAACTACCCATCTGTGAGCTGTGGGACTCCAGGAAGCACTGAATAATACAATATTTTTGACTTTTTTTTTAAATCCCATCCATCATCTATATATTTTGGTAACCTAATTCAGGATTAACAAATGGGTGGATGGACACTGGGCTTGAGGTGGCGTTGACTCTGGTCATCAGTTAATTTGCATTCATATTCAAACTTAAGGATAATTTATAGCCGATTAACTAATCAACATTTCTGGAGGAAACCAGAGTTACAGCCACTCCTACCCATAGTTAACATGCACAAGTTGCTTCTGCTCACTCCTAAATATCTCAGACCAGTTCTTCTAAAACATGGATGTAACCACAGTGAC